CCCCCCCCCCGGTAGACCGATTGTCAAAGCTCGATTGCTCCACGACCAAGATTGTGCCAACACCAAAAGTGGTGGTTTTAGGTAGCAACTCGTCGAGGGGTTCCCGATGACGTATCGGGCTCTTTCCGCACCCCCTTGGTTTTGGAGCAATGGAACTTTGAAAGTCTGTCTGGGGGGGGGTGCCATCTCTTCGCCGATTACGGGAGTAGTTTTACCACGAGCTTGTTCATGTGTGCTCTTTTGGCTCCCGTTTCGGCGGCTGTTCATCCTCGTTATTACCCTCTTTGTTTGATTTGTGTCGTCGATGTCGTCATGGCCGTTCCTTGCGCCGCTTGTTGTTGGAGATGTTGGAGATGTTGGAGATGGGCACGTTAGAGCAACGAGGTCTAAGGGAGTGCACCCCACGTCCGTCCGAGTACACAGTTGTCGCCGTCGTCGTCGTCGTCATCGTCTTGGTGAACTTTTGGTGCTTCAGGTGGTAGACGCGCAAGCGATGCGATCGATGAGGGAGCTACAAAAGCCTCCCTCCCAAGTAGAACCTAGTACATGGTCGACATTCAAACCCTAACCCTAACCCTACGCTTGATGGCGTAAACGCTATTCTGTTCCCTCCTCGGCAGGTGATGAACACGTTGGCGATGCGGTCGAGGGGGGAGTACTGCACGGACCGCGTGGTGCACGCCTGCCTGGTGTTCGTGGGACCGGCGACGGAGCTGTCTCACACGTACAAGCTGCTCAAGCCACACCTGGACTTCCTCCTGTTCCAGGCGGTCTTCCCCGAGCTCTGCCTGTCCAAGAAGGACATCGCGGTGTGTGCGGCAATGACGTCATCGTTGATGTTGATATTGTCGGTTTTGATGCTGATATTGTCGGTCTTGATGTTGATATTGTCGTTGATGATGTTGATTTTGTCGGTGTTGATGTGGATATGCTGTTGGTATTGTCGGTCTTGATGTTTCAATGCTGCTGCCGTCCGTTGCAATGTTGACGGTGTACTTGGTTTTTTGTGGGTGTAGCAAGTAGTCGTCGTCGTTGCTGTTGCCAACTTCGGTGCGGCTGTTGCTGCTGCTGGTACTGTTGTCTGTGGCTGTCGTTATCGTTCATGTTGATGTTGTCATGAGTATGGTGATGTATGTGCATCATTGACGTCATCGTGATGGTAGTCGTAGTAATTGTTGATGTTGATGCTGCTGTTGCTGTCGTTGGTTGTCGTTGTCGTTGTCGTTGTCGTTATTATTGTGTTGCTATCGATTGTGGTGGTGTTGAACACGCGTCACGTCCACCCATCCCGCCCAAACCTCGTGTACACCCTCGCCTTGGACCGACGCACCAGACGTTTGACGCAGACCCTCACGAGTTCATCCACAAAAACAATGACCCCTCGGAGGACTACCTGTCGCCCAGGGTCCCCGCGGTGAACTGCATCATCGACCTCGCCAAGTACAGGGGCAAGGACATTCTTCCCAGGGTGAGAGTCGAAATTTCCAGGGTAAAAGTAGGAACTTGCCAGGGCAACAGTAGAACTTCCCAGGTTGAGAGTAAAACATTCCTAGGGGTACGAGTAGAAAATTCTCAGGGCGAGAGTAAAAATTCCAGGGTAACAGTAGAACTTCATGGTGAGAGTACGAAATCTCAGGGTGATCGTAGAGTAGAAACTTGCCAGAGTGAGAGGAGAAACTTCCCAAGGTCAGAGTAGAAAATTCCTACCGGTAGGTTGAGAGTAGCAACTTCCCGGGGAAAGAGTAGAAACTTCAAAGGGTGAGAGTAGAAACTTCCCAGGGCGAGAATTGAAAGTAGAAACTCCCAGGGTGAGAAACTTCCTATTGAAAGAGTAGAGTAGGAACTTGCAGAGTGAGAGCAGGAACACTTCCAAGCCGACTTACACACTACCTAGACGTGCTCCGCATACGATTGCGTTGTGTTTTCCTTGGAAAGAAATTTACAGGGTTTCAAGATAGCTCCCATCCCCTTGCTCCCCGCCCCCACACTCCGCTCTCTGATGCGTACTTCGAAGTACATTAATTTTTGTACTCCTCTCTTCGCTTTTCTTCGGATAGTCAGGAATTTAACCGAGTTTAACATGGTGCCAACCCCCCCCCCCCCCCCCCCCCCCCCCCCCCCCCCCCCCCCCCCCNCCCCCCCCCCCCCTTCCCCCCCTCGGTCTTTTTTTTTTTTTCTTCATCTTTAGCTCTTAACATACGCCCAGAACGTTTTGACGACGTACGCGGCGACGCCGGAGGACCAACGCGACCACCGTGCGAAGGACGCAGCCTTGGTTGCCCTTGGGTGCGTTACAGTGCAAGTATCTAGCTGTTGGGTGGTTGGCTGATCATGATGCTCGTGTGCACGGACTTGTGCTTGCCTTCGAACAGTAGCGGTACCGATAGATCGCGGCCTCGAATAGTGCGGTTTCCGCCATAGGTATCGCGGTAAAATAAGTCCTTGGCGACCAAGCCCACTACTTGTATTGGAATTTGTACTCAGGGACCTGCCCCCAATAGCGCCAGTCCTGGTATAAGGCGGTGCTGTTTGGTCTGTCACTAATTTTTTTTGTAGGCCGCGATATATCTCGACGACGACTCATTGTAGGTGCATCGTCGTGGTGCAAGATTAAGATTTGTCCGGCTGCTGCCACTGGTTGCCACTCAGGGTACGCTGACGTGACGTCACCAACCGTGTAGCGGCAACGCACACAACCTTTCTTCCAAGGAAGACAGCGTGCTGACCTTGTTGTGTGTGCCTGCATTCTCTGCGCGTCTGGCGTATCAGTAGATGCTCTACATCCTGCAGGGCCCTTCTCATCGCTGATGTCGTGTTTCTCAATCTTCTTGGCTTGATGTATATATTGACGTATACCCATTCTAGACCCTACACAAAAAAAAATCATGGGTTATTCTCTAGCACGCTATATTGTAGTTGAAGCACCATATGTGGTATATAACAGACCCCCCCCC